AGTCAGTAAGGTTACATGTACAGTCAGTAAGGTTACATGTACAGTCAAGGTTACATGTACAGTCAGTAAGGATACATGTACAGTCAGTAAGGTTACATGTACAGTCAGTAAGGATACATGTGCAGTCAGTCAGTAAGGATACATGTACAGTCAGTAAGGTTACATGTACAGTCAGTAAGGTTACATGTACAGTCAGTAAGGTTACATGTACAGTCAGTAAGGATACATGTAAAGTCAGTAAGGATACATGTACAGTCAGTAAGGTTACATGTACAGTCAGTAAGGTTACATGTACAGTCAGTAAGGATACATGTACAGTCAGTAAGGCTACATGTACAGTCAGTAAGGCTACATGTACAGTCAGTAAGGCTACATGTACAATCAGTAAGGTTACATGTACAGTCAGTCAGTAAGGCTACATGTACAGTCAGTAAGGCTACATGTACAGTCAGTAAGGCTACATGTACAGTCAGTAAGGTTACATGTACAGTCAGGATACATGTACAGTCAGTAAGGTTACATGTACAGTCAGTAAGGTTACATGTACAGTCAGTAAGGTTACATGTACAGTCAGTAAGGTTACATGTACAGTCAGTAAGTAAGGTTACATGTACAGTCAGTAAGTAAGGTTACATGTACAGTCAGTAAGGTTACATGTACAGTCAGTCAGTAAGGTTACATGTACAGTCAGTAAGGTGTCTCTCACGCTCTCATGCACGCAGTCATCCTCTGTAGCGACAGACAATTATAAATTGACCACAGTTTATGACTTTCAGACCAGATGGTTGAATACTGAGCTCACGTTAAGATAAAATTTGACTGATAGAGCTTTAACGTTCACAAATGACACAATTTCTAACAATGTTCCTAAACTCAAGCAGCATTGTGCACGACTGACTCGCAGCTCTTTTTAAAGCTTCACTGCAAGGTTTTTGTCACGCTTCTTGTTCCCAGGGACATTTTAAAATTCTCAAACACATGAATCCTTCATCAAATGTTCTGTAGATCAGTGGTTCCCAACCCTGGTCTTTGAGGAACACCATCCTGCATGCTTTAGTGCTTTCCTGCATGGACACACCTGATTTCAATGGAAGAGTTATTAACAAGCTTCTGCAGAACCCGAGGAAGTAATTAAATCACTATCAGGTGTGCTGGACCAGGGGAACAATTAAAACGTGCAGGATGGTGTTCCTCAGGGACCAGGGTTGGGAACCACTGCTAGACAATGGCGTGTTCAAAGTATTTGGGGATTTAAAATGAGGATTTATTTTTAAATTGTTGCACAGTTTGAAGTTTCTTTTTTCTTTTTAAGAATATTGAACTTCTGTTTAATGTTGAGACTTCTTAAACAACAACCAAACTTTTTTTGGTACTGAGGTGATGCTGCTGATCCTGTCAGTTTACCGTTTTGTTGTGAACCTGCGCTGACTGCAACGCTGAGCTAAACGTGAAGTGATATCCTACCCCATGTCTCCAGCTCCAAGAGGGCTAATTGAGTCCAAGTCCACGTTGTCCAGGTGCATCTGCTGCACAGCCCTCATCACCTTCTGCTGCTCCTCTGGGTCTGTGATACCAATCTAACAAATGAGAAAATGACAAAGAGGTATTTCTAGTTTGCTTCCAGTGCTTTTTTAAAGCTAAGAAGCTGTGACTTCAGATACACAGATGTATTTTCATCCTCTACCTTTTCAAAGTCATCCTTCTCCATGGTCAGCAGGTTGTTCCATGTGACATCGTTTTCCTGAGCATGGGAAAAAGTCAGAAAGTGAAGAGAATTCACCCACTTACAATAAAAAGACAACAGCTTCTCCTGTAACAGATGTACCTGCACGGGCCTTTTTACCTGAACAGCAACGACGAGCTACCTGCACCTGTCAAGAACCGCCCTCATACTTCACTGAAGGCTGAACACGTCTGCTGACCCACATCAAACCATCTGCAAGCCAAATATGTAAACTACATGTCTCGTGACAAATTCCCATGCAAACACATGTCCATGTGTCAATGAAGCAGCCGTGCCGAACACGCTTCAAGAGGGCTCTGTATTCCCCACCGCTCCCAAGAGAATAATGCGCCATCTCTGCTCTTCAGCCTGGCATCAGTAAATCTCTAAAACCAACAAAGTCCATGCTCAATAATCCAGGTATACAATCCAACATTTTTCAGTCAGGTCATCTGGACAGTTTCTTCTTTTGTGCTGAAGCGTTTCACCTTCCATCCAGAAGGCTTCATCAGTCAAGGAAACACACAACACAAAACTGATTCTTCCCCCAACCGCTTACTCCAAAGTGGAACAAACCAGTTTTATTTGTGCTAAGATGGTCTCTTTGGTTTTGAACCAGTTTGACATGATTGCCGACAAGGGAGAGGGCCGGCACCGGAGGAGGGGGCGTGACAAAGACACCATCTTAGCACCAACATAACTGGTTTGTTCCACTTTGGAGTAAGCTGTTTGGGGGAAGAATCAGTTTTGTGTTGTGTGTTTCGTTGACTGATGAAGCCTTCTGGATGGAAGATGAAATGTTTCAGCACAAAAGAAAGAAACTGTTCAGATGACCTGACTGAAAAATGTTGGATCATCTCTAAACGGCAGATTTTTTTGAAAAACAAAAAAAAGTCACCCACAGCTAGTTTGCATCTATTTACATCTTTAAGTTGAGGCGTTTCAGGGCAGGTGTCCCGTGCACTTGATTTCATCTTGATCTGGACTTGCACAGTAATTCTGCTCGATTTGTGCTTGGACTCGAGTATACAGTTCTGTCAAGCGTATGCCATGTTTGAGTAAAAAATCCACTCAAATCTTTATACATGAGAGCATGTATCTAAAATATTTACTTCTCTACAAAAAAATTAACTCTGCTGCGGACGATACTAATTAGACCTTGACCATGACTGAACGATGAACAGGAAGGCGCTTCTTTAATTTATATTGTTGTAATACACTTTATGGTGCATGGTGGGGGATAGAAAATGCATGTTAGGAAGACTGTTTCAAGACTTCAAACGTTAAAACAGGTTGACCATACCAGCTTTATTTATAGAGACTGTAACACCCACAGGACCAAAGTGAGGTACACATAATGAAACCATCAGATAAGAAAGATGTATTAAAATGATTAAAGTTAACGCCTCAGATGGTGTCAAAGGTCAGGGAGAAGAAGAGATGGTTTAAGAAGGATTTAAAAACAGACAGGGAAGAGTCTGATGTTCACTGAAGGTGGTTCCACAGTTTAGGAGCTGCAGCAGCAAAGGTCTCCTCTGAGCTCACGCTCAGGAGCAGCTGGTCACGTGACCTGAGGGATCCAGAGGTGTGCACAGATGCAGCTGCTCTGACAGATAGGGCGGGGCAAGTTCATTTAGAGCTTTAAAAGCAAATAAAATAATTTTAAAATGAATCCCAAGTTTAAAAGTAGCTGTTTACTTAGATTCTTGGGGGTGGACAATGTTAACAGATTTTCAGCCAATATAACAGTTACTGGCATTAAGCCCCGCCCAATATCAGTATTGGTGATAGAGAAAATGTCCATATCAGTCGGGCTTTAATATTTACTAATCAAAACCAACGAGGAAAAACAAGATGGGTGAAAAACTCAGGAGTGATTCATCTTTTTAGAGGTTTTCTCCTGCAACACGTCTAAAACCTGACGTATTTTTCTCCATCTGTCCCGTAATGAACTTTAACCTTTAACCTGAAAAATGAGGCAAGAAAGACTAAAATGGAGCTCTTGGCTTATTGGTCATTTGTCTGAGCGATACACTTCCTGAACTTGGTGTGAATTTACTAAAACAACTCCTGAAACTTTTCTCCATCCTGCCTGGACTCGCTTTTTCACCTCTTTACCACACTGTCCAGGAACATGGGGAGTGTGGTGAAGAGGAGAAGAAGAGAGCCCAGGCAGGATGGAGTGATGGAGAAAAGTTTCAGGAGTGATTTGTGACAAAAGGGTGTCAGCAAAGGTCAAAGGTCAAAGGAAAAGTTTACAAGACAGTGGTGAGACCAGCTATGTTGTATGGTCTGGAGACAGAGACATGGACAAAAAGACAGGAGACAGAACTGGAAGTGTCAGAAATGAAGATGTTGAGGTTCTCCTTAGGAGAGACAAGGATGGAGAAGATCAGGAATGAGATCATCAGAGGAACAGCACAGGTTGAACAACTGGGAGATAAAGTTATAGAGGACACACTGAGATGGTTTGGACATGTCCAGAGGAGGGACAGTGGTTTGGACATGTCCAGAGGAGGGACAGCGATTTGGACACGTCCGGAGGAGGGACAGCGGTTTGGACACGTCCGGAGG